CTGAATAATTAATTAGACCAAAATGTCAAACCTGTTACTGTTAGGTCAAAGTCATCTCTAAGTTATGAAATTAAAATAATTATAGAAGTTAACTGAACTGCTTCCACATCTCCTGTACAAGAACCAGAAAAAAGAGAGAGAAAAAAAACCAAAAAACGAATCCACTGGTGACGTGGTTGGTGTTGTGTGTTGCATTTTTTTAATGTCCTGGAAATTAATGAAGTATAGCTAATTCAACCCTCTTTAAAAATAAATGTATTTGATTGTTAAAGCATTTTTCTTGCATCCACAAATGTTAGCATGATTCTTATGATTTAAATCTTCTTGAGGCATATTCATCGGAAGATTTCCTAGATGTGCACAATTACATTGCATTTCTCTGGAGTTTCCATCAGTCTCACAGTCAGAATGAGCGCCATAGGTTAAAAAAAACAACCCATAGCTTTACTGTTTAGCTATCACTACTAATAATAATCATGATCTTATTACCTTTGTTGTGTCACAAGTGAAAATGGATCTTGTTTATTTAATCTCCTACATGCATTGTTGCACTAAGTTATCGCAGCATAAAACCATGAAGCTGTCAGTCTGACGCAGTGGACTTTTTTTTTTAAACTTTTGTTTATGCTGCGTGATTTTCAAAGTATGAGGAAGCGCTCTCTATCTGCCACGTGAGGTGGTAGAGTTTGTCTTTGGTTCTACAGTTGTTTGTAATTCCTCGATCATTATTAATTAACCATCTCTTTTATCTCATCTGGTTATGCACTGCCATTTGTGACTGATACAGTGTTGCTCAAAGAAAGTCACTCAGCCATCTTTATTTTATAGTTTTTACAGTCAGTGGCTGCAAATCATCTCACCTTTGTGCAGCCTGATGAGACAATCATGATGACATGATATCTGCTGCCATATCAAGGAAGGAAAAACACAAAAACACAAGATTGCGTAAGCAAACAACTGTTCTTGCGCAAGAAAGCAAATACAAGCCACTGAATAATTTAAAGAGCCAAACAGCAATTGGCAAATGCAAATGCTATATCTCAATCTGGTCGCAAGTAGGAAACTGACTAGTATAAAAAACTGAAAAGTATGGCAAAAAAAAAAAGTTCAATTCCAGTTGCACAAATAAGGTCCGAGGTCTCATTATTACAAGTAAATGCAATACCATCGTATAGGAGTCAGTGGAATAGTAGTGCTATCCAGTGCAGCTTTAAAAAGAAAAAATCATGTCTTTGTTTTATTATTTGTCTGATTGTTAACTGCATAACTGAAATAAATGAAAACAAGCCCAAGTTATAAATATAGTGACTGAAAGAATAAGAATTCTGTCAAGGTCAGCGGGGCGAGCCGTGTGGAATTAGTAAAGGACCCAAGATGCAGGCACTGCTGATGTGAGATAGCTTTATTTGTGGCGACTGAAAATACAAAAAGGTGACGGTGGCGAAAAAACAGAACTGAGAAAACCTAAACTGGGACGACTAAGCATAAAACAAACCTGAAGCCAGAAACAGAGATGCAGGAAGACACAGAGAGAAAACCATAAGATGCTGTAGGGAGATAACGCAGATGAACCAGCAACTAACAGGCAGACACAAGGCTTAAACACACAGAGGGATAACGAGGGACTGAGACACAGAAGGAAGGCACAGCTGGGAGTAATCTGACATGACGGGACAGGTGATAATTGAACACACTGCGATCAGACACGGACCTTCAAAGTAAAACAGGAAACACACACACACATGCAAAGACACAGACTTAGAGACCTGACTACACTAGAGGGGATACACAGGCAGGGATGACACAAAACAGAGGGAGCACAGAATAAACACTGGGAAACCAAAACACAAACAGTCATAATTCATAATAGTATCAAAAGTAAAAGTACAAAAACCAAAAACACTGGGTCACCGACCCAGGACTGTGACAAATTCAGGCCTTCAGAGTCAGAGTAGAACTACTTCTCCTTCAAAGAAGCCGTTTGAAATAATTATAACTGGATGACTCCTAGGTGGGGTGTTTTGGGTGGATTCGGGTATGAGAATTCCTGAGGACACACCTGAAAATAACTGGAGTAATTACATTATTAAGTTGGTTTGGGAATGCCATGGAGAAGGAGGTCTGGGCAGATCTGTTTAGACTGCTCGTCCCTCACCCAGAGATGAATAAGTAGTATAAAATGTAGTATTAAATGAATACATTTATTCATATATTTATGTATTTTTTTCCTAGGTGAACATGCTGCACATGGTAAACAGAGGCAGGTTCTAGCATTTGCTGGTGGAGATGTTATTCTACCATGCAACTTCAGGATCTCTGACAGCACTGACTTTCCGACTGTTGAGTGGTCCAAAGAAGGTCTGAACCCAGACGTGGTCTTCCTGTATCGGGATGGCTGTGAGACCTACGAGATAAAGAATCCAATCTTTGAGTACAGGACAAGCTTGATCATGAAAGAACTGAAAGATGGAAACATCTCATTAAGGATCTCCAATGTGAAAATGTCTGATGCAGGGAAGTACAAATGCCTCAAGCTCTGGAAGAAAGCTCCTCGGGAGGTCACAGAAGTGGAGCTTGTTGTTGGTACGTCCTCTCAAGTTCACTTAATAACCAAAGCTAGGAATGCTGCACAGGCCTTGGACCTTGTCTAGTTTATCAAATCGTAGACTGAACGAACCAAGTAATGTGAATGACTCCTTTTATACATTTCTGTGAATTATTCAGATTCAGTGTCCAAATAGACCCAGCGACGGCATTTTGATGGACTAAGCCAAGTCACGTCTAAATGATGAAAGAGGATAACACGCTTGCTTGAGTGTAATTTTCGTAGTATTCGCATCTCAAAACAGCATCAAAAAGACTTTTTGGCTGATTGTAAGATTGTAACACATGGTTAGATAGACATTTTTGCAGTACAGCTGGCTTCTGTGAGGCAACAGTGCTAAGCAATTTTTGGCCCATAAAAATGACCAAAAAAAAACAGCTAGTTGTTAATACTTCAACAGTAATTTCATAATAGAAAACATTTTTTAGCAGCTCCATTACACTTTGTGGGTAAATCTAGAACCTGTGTTTACTCTGAGTATGAAATGAAGCTTGTGAATGGATAAGAAGTAACTGACACTTCTAAGCTTGCGTGAAGTACTGTGTCAACAAAGGCTGAGAGTTCAGTCTGTGCACACATGTGCGTTAGAGTGTCTCAGGTTCAACTGGTTTTGTCCTCATTATGTTGTCATTATGTGCTCTCTCCAGTACTTTAAATTGTGTACAGAGTAAACTCTGTACACTATTTGTTCCCCATGTAGTTATTCTAAAAATCACGTCTCTTTGAAGTTGTTTACCAAGTTTATGTGATTAATTGGTTGATATTTCACTCTAATGAAGCTTCTAAAGAAGACTTTTTATAGTGTTTTATTTTATTAAGAAAGATTTTAATCTTTACCTATTTACCTTTTGATAACTTGGTTATCTTTAGCTACTCACAGTGAACTACATTTGGTATAGTTGGTTGCCTGAAGCTTAATTAAGACAATGGCTTGAATTATGCACATACAAACTAGTCATGAAGCTGGTTATTCAGGATGTGATGACAGATGAAAGATTCAGTTGGCACACCTGATCAGATTATTTTTGTTTACAGGTGCAGTCTCGGAGCCAAAGCTCTCAGTGGTTTCGGTTGAAAGATGTGGGGTGACTGTGCAGTGTGAGGTGAACTTCTGGCCAACAGAGCCTCAGGTAACATTTCTGGATCACCAAGGAAACGACATCCCTGCTCAAAGTTCAGAAAGAGATCGAGATGCCAGCGGACGTTTCATCGTCAAACAAAGAGTTACTCTGCAGGAAGGAAACAGCAGGTTCAACTGACATCATTGCTCCATCTTTCAAAACTCACTGATAATTTATTTTGTGTAACATAAACAAAATGTTTTCCTTATGCCTCAGACACATCAGAAGTTGCTCTCTCATATGCAAGAGGTTGCGATGCAGTACATCATGTATCATGAAACAGACTTGTTGTTGAGTTAAGACATCATTAGTGCAATGTGAACAGGAATCGTTTTAAATCTTATGACCTTATTTTGACTGGTCATTGGCATTTATGATTTCTTTAAAGGTAAAACTCTTGTGTATGAACGTATTTCTCTCTGTGAAGTCTTAAACGTCCAAAGCAATAGACACAAGAGATGTGAAGAAAAGAGCGAGGGCAGAGGGTGAGATGTGCATGGATGACTTGCTGCAGTCACCCCTAAAGGGAGCACCCAAAAAAAAAAAAAAATTTAAATTTGGTTCTATTAAATTGATCCTGTTTTCTTAAAAGATTTAACCAGTGATATACCATGTTTGGTAAGTAAATCAGACACAAGCAGCCAGTTTTTTTTCCCCAACTCATCATTATATTTAATTTCTTAAAAAACATCTATCCATCCATTTATCTTCTTCCAATTATCTGGGGCCGGAAGTCTAAGCAGAGAAGCCCAGACCTGTCTCTCCCCAGCCACCTCCTCCAGTTTGCCCATAGCAACACCAACAACAAGGCGTTCCCAAGCAGCTGAGTGTCCACTGGGAGGAGGCCCGGGTGGTTCAGGCATTTGACACTGTCAGATGCCTGAACCACCTCAACTGCCTCTTTTCGATGTGGAGGAGCAGCGGCTCTACTCTGAGCCCCTCCCGAATGGCCCGACTCTCTAAGGGAGAGGCCAGTCACTCTTCGGAGGAAGCCCAATTCTGCCGCTTCTATGTGTGATCTTGTTTTTTCAGTCACTACCCACAGCTCATGACCATAATTGAGGGTAGGGAGGTAGATTGATCGGCTAACAGAGCGCTTCACTTTGACACTCATCTCTCCCTTCATCATGATGGACCAGTTTGGCATCTGCATCACTGCAATCACTCATGGTGCAGGAACTCGTCCCTGAGTGGGCACTCCACCCTTTTCCAGCTGACGACCATGGCCTCCGGAATGAGAATCATGTGCTGATTCTCATTTCCACCGCTTCACACTTGGCTGCAAACCGTTCCAGTGCAAGCTGGAGGCCATTACCCGATGATGCCAACAGAACCAAAACATCTGTATAAAGCAGACATGAGATTCTCTGTGAAAGCCTTCCACCGCTTGGCTACACTTAGAAATTCTGTCCATAAAAATTCTAAGCAGAATCGGTGACAAAGGGCACTTACTGTTAAAAATATTTTGAAAACAAAACACCTTTGTCCACATAAAATGTTACTAATTTACTCTAAAACTAACCAACTTGCATTTGTTCTCACAGCATCACCTGCAGGGTTCACCAGCCAGAGATGAACCAGACCAGAGAGACAAAGATCCTCATATCAGGTACACGGGGACTTGAACATCACACATGTACCTGCTGGCTAACAGAATAAGAGAAATGCAGCCTGTTGTAGGAAGTTCACTTACTTTTAAAAACTCCAATCTGCTCATGAACTGCAGATGCAAATTAGTGTTAAACTCTGGAACAGTGCATCAAATGACAACAATCATGTTTATATAATACATTGTCCCTTTTTAACTAAAACAAATAAAAAAAGAACTACCACCATACATATCCAACCTCAAATCAAATCATATGCAATTTGATTAATCTGTTCATTAAATAAACAGTTTTCTTGCATTATCTCACATCTGAGTTGTAGGAAGTTGAAGGTGATTCAATTATTTTCAGGTATAGTCTGAAAAGTCTTCCGATAATTAGCTCGGGAAACATCTTGTTGTAATAAAATAAAAACATAAATGTGTTTTAATTTGTATACATGGAGCCATTTACGTGATTATGCAACACTTCTTAAGAAAGGAAGCTGCTTAGTTTGCCATAGTTCCTAGATATTGGAAAACCAGTTCTATGTTGCAGACATCATGTTTGTGATTTAGCAGATAATGTGATCAGATGTTAACATCATGCATGTTGTTATTTCAGCCACCTGCAGCTCCGACATTTGCACCGCTGCCTTTGCTGCTGGAGGATTGGCTTCTGTCTTATTTTCAGCTATATTAGCTCTACTGATATATAAGGAACACAATAAATCAAGTAAGTCACTGTCTTCATTTAACAAAGATGATTCAGCTAAAAAGTGAAGACATGAGCGAAGTGGTGAGCATCTAAGTGTTTTCTCTGCCTTGAAAAGGTTCACGTCTGTAGTGTCGTCCAACTGCCACAGGATGGCAGACATGCACCTCTCAAACAAGAACCACATGCTCAAAGAGACCACAGACCTCAAAGTGCTGTTGCTGAGTACTTACTCGTACTTAAAGACAGCTTGTTTCAGTAGAAAAAACAATAGCAACAGCTTTGCTTTTAGTGCTATCAAAAACATCAACCCACTCTTCAAAAGAAAAAAAAAACAATGTCCTGTAAGACTTGTGAAAGTCTATTAATGTCACATATTATAAAACAAAAGCTAGAAATATAGTTGCAGTGTTCTTAATGGCCAAAGGTGCACACATAGTGGCAGCTGTGGCTCAGGTGTTAGAGCGAGTCATCTGCCAATCGTAAGCCTGGTGGATTCGTCTGACTGACTACGCGCTGAGGTATCCGTGTTCAGATACTGAACCCCATTTTGACCCCAGTGCATTCATGTAAATGCTATAAAGTACTTAAGCGCTGCATGAACACATGTGATTGGGTGAATGAGACTTAGATGTCTGCTCAACTGAGTAGAAAGGTGATATACAAGTACCAGTCCATAACATTTACTTCTCCATAATCACCAAAATATCTTTATTTAGTATCTCTACTTGTTTCATGTCTATTCAGGGACACCTCTAGAAATCTTTCATATGGGGGCCAAAAAAATATCGGGGTGGCACAGCAAAGACAGAACAGTGAGGGACATCTAAAGTGACAAAAATGATATATGCAGGAATAAATAACAAGTTAATGTTTCAACTCATTGTAGGGTGTCTTGCCCTCTCTTGTGTTCACTTGTGTTCTTGGTGCTGGGGGTCACTTGGGGGGCCAGCCAATTTTGGTGGGTGCCCAGTGCCTCCCTTGGTGGTGGTCCTGTACCTATCACCAATCGAAAAAAAGAAAGTACAACTATGCAGTGAAGTTAAGGACGGGCGACAAGCTTGTGAAAAGTTGCCTATAAGTGTTTTAATGTTTTTATTACCTTCAGATTCAAATGTTTGGTGGGAAAAATCTTCATTTTGTTGCTTCACAGCTAAAGTCACTTTAAAATTATGTCTTCTTTTACAAAAAGTTTGGGTTGCTTTTACTTTCCCTTCTTGTTAATCCGTAAATTAATGTCACATTATTAATGACACATTTTTTTTCTGTCTACACAGCCCAAAAAAAGAAGCGTCTTCACAGGAAGTCATCAGACCAAAGAAAGAATAGCAGCACTGAAAATATGTTAAACAGTTTAACTGAGCAGCTAAAAGAAAGATTGGCTGGACTCAAGTCAGAGCTTCAGGAGAAAGAAGAGATCATTCGCCAGCTAAAAAGAAATGATCAGCCGTCTCGAGCTGTTGCTACCCAGCATGACCAACCAATTTGGGGCCTTTTCACGTCCAAACCACACATCCCCAAAAAACCTTTCAATCATTATTCTGACCTTGACTCCAACGCTAGTTACTGTGCTGATGACTATCATCCAAAATTCACAGCTTCAACCAAAACTTACCCTCCAAAATCTGGCAGCTTACACCACAAAGGTTCACATTTAGGAGTCAAGAGGCAAAACAGCAATCCAGCACCGGGCCAACCAATCCAAAGAAAACATCGCAACAGAAGTAGTCCTGCTATTATGTCTTTAGCGTTACCTAGCTTGTCTTTAACCAGCAATGCAGAGAAAATGCTGGACCACATTAGCAGCTCAAAGAGTGAGGCTGAAGCCCTGCTAGATCAAGATGCATTCTCGCCACTGCATAGAAGTTATTCAGCAGGTTCTCATTTAGCTTGCAATAATAACCGCTTTTATGCACTGGAAGATTTAACTGAAGAGTCATGAGCTGCCAATTCACAAAAGGAGAACAAAAACTGGAAAACTTTCAGTTAGCATCTACTAATGACTGCATCTTAGCCAGATGTTTTACAAGCTT